TAAGTAGGTTATGGTACTTTACTTGATTGTCATTAGCAGAGGAATCCAGGACGCGCTTTCCTCTATATTTAGGTCTCATCAGCTGGATGTACCAGCACCTCAGTGCGAAGTGGTTTTCCCCACTGAGACTCGAATCTTGTACCCATCATTTCGAGTGCGAGAGTGCTATCCACTAGGTCACTGAAATACCATAGTCATCTCTTGTACAACGGGTACTAGTTATTACTACTTGTTGATATACTTGCAGTTCTCCGTTGTTATACTAGGTCGAAATGTTCGACCTATGTTGGCATATAGATTCGTATTGGGTTGCCTCAATATTGCCTGAAAATTTTAATATGGTAATCTACTTGATTGAAGTTAGTAGAGGAATCCAGGACGCACTTGTCGTCAAATTACAAGTATACCAACAAATAGTAATAATAATGGGTGACAATTGGAGATTAAATGGCTGAGGTCCAAATTTCCAATTCTATCTTCAATCATCACTCAGTATAAATAATAGTCTGCCAAACCACGACTATCTCACATAGTCAAAATCGTAACCAATATGATATCCTTCTTCCCCCTCAAATTCAGTTATATTTGGATTTGGATAAGAAGTCTTGACTACGGTCAGTCAGTATGAATACAATCAAGAGGTAGTAAGGAGTCACGACTTCACATGGCAGTCTGAGATCGGATCATGTAGCTATAGTTGGTAAGCCAGCGGTCTGGAGACCCGGTGATCACTGGTTCGAATCCAGCCGCGATCTAAATTTCCGCTTCACTTTCAATCATCACCCAATATAAATACTAGTTTGCCTAACCACGTGTATCTCAGAGAGTCAAAATGAGGATAGTAATAAGTTATAATATTATTGTTTGTGTTATACAGACGTTGATTGGACTGAATTGATTGGTTTCTATTGACATATGAGCTCCTGTGCGGATGTCTCGATATTAGCTGTATTCTAATTATAATAATGGTGGGTAGTGGCCAGCAGTAGAATCCAGGATGCGCATCTCGTCCAATTTGGGACTCGTCAGGTGGATCTATGGCGGCTCGGTGATGCAGTGAGTAACGCTCTGGTATTTGAAGCGATCGGTTCCTAGTCCGAATCCCGTGGGGAACAATATGACGCACTGGGAGGCAGGCACATCAAGCTGGTGAGTCCCCAACAGGAAGAAATGCTTACCCTGGATTCTACTCCCAAACACTGTCCATCATTACCAAAAGTAGGTTATGTCAACATTATGGAACCATTTTCGATCACATAAAGAAAACGTGGTCTCACAAGCCCTGCATATTTTAACTTCAACAAATCTTCTAAATAGAAAGGAAGGAAGGAAGTGATTTACCACCTATCTGACTGACTCCAGTTCGGTAAAAACACTAAAGAGGTCACCATTCCAAATTAGACTTTTAAAGAAGAGACAAACAGGCAATATAGGTCAATTACTGTTAGTGAATAAACATGTTTTTCATATTCTCATACGAAAAACAACGAACGATGCAAACATTTTCGATAACATTTACACACGTTGATTATTGCAATGTGGTGTGATGACAAATGACACAGACTCTATGACACATTTATGATGACTGGTTAGAAAGAATCAATGTGAACGAACAGCAAATGAGGTAGGCAATGGTGTATAGATAGAAATTGTTACATGTTCCAGTAAGGGTAGAAATGTAAAGGAAGTTGTCTCCTTCACTGACCTAGGCAAGGCAACAACGTTTCAACCACAGGTGGCACAGGCACAGATGAGGATGTCAAAACCACGATCGGAAAGACAGCAAGATAGATAGGCCATGCTTCATTAGTCTGAGATCGGTTTTGAGATCTACTGGACTCCACTCAGTATAAATCGTGAACAACATCCGGATTTCCAACACTACCAATACCAGTCAAGTAATTCAGTGCTTCTGTGTGATGGACGAGAGACTTGGCTGTGTGGCGCGTTACGCAGCGTACTTCAAACGAACTGCACACATACATGATGAACAGTTGCCGTCTACACTCAATGGATACTGAAAGTGGATCAGATGGCGAGAGTAATGGAATAAGGAACAAGGAAATCACTGTGTTAGGCGGGCAATGAACCAACGAAGCCATAAACTGTCGCACTGTGTGTATGCAGAGGAAGGAAGTGGAGATATATTGTATTGTATATGGACTGAGAAGACGGTTTCTGGACGTCACTTGTCAGACCAGGCGAGGTCAGACCGTCAAGTGGAAGGAAAATGAGAAACGACGATTTGGGTGTCGGAGTGGAGTGTGACATTGAGGAGATGGTGTGAGGAAGAAGTGAAAGCTTGTGGGCAGTTGTGGAGGGTGGTTAGGAGGACTGTCGAGAAGGGAATGAAATGGCGACGTGCTACTGATGTGGTATGTTCCACTAGGAACCACAGCGAGAAATAATAATCAGAATAATGCAATTTGACATTGTATATATTTTGATGTAGAATAGAAAAGTGAATATTCTGCAGAAGAAGCTGTTGGATACATACAGAAATGTTCAGAATAAACTTATCTTCAAGTTGCATAAACGCACTGGGATTATATTGAAGCCTATTCCTGTAATGATTATGGTAAAACAGTATAGGCTTTGAAGTCACTCAGAACCCTGTTACTATTGTTACTACTACTACTACTACTACTACTAGTATTCTAATCCATTCTGGTCGGCTACCTGACCTACATATTTGACCTTGCAATCATTCCAACGGATTTGGTAAACCAGATTATTCTGCCTAATTGAATCAATACGATGTCTCAACGTATAACGCTTGTTTCGAAGTGAGATTTTTGCCTCAAATGACACTTTAATTCCAGCCAGCCTTATTGACAACTCTTCGCAATGTTTCTGATATGCCTGCCTTTTATTGTAACACAGTAGACGCTTTGAACTCACTCGGAACTCTGTTACATTGTTACTAATACTAGTAGTAGTAGTAGTAGTAGAAGTAGTAGTAGTAGTGTGATTAGTAGTAGTAGTAGTAGTAGAATGACCATTAATAACACACCTATTACTACTACTTTCATCTTCTTATCAAACCATTCATTAACTTAAGTGGTTAAGTATTGAGACAGTATGCATTTTTGATGTGTCTAATTTCCTGTCGTAGATTTCCTGGTCCACTAGGAAGCTCTTCCTCTCCATCACATAGGCATTCAACTAAGCCTATTTCAACTGAGATGGCGTCATAGTATTTCTCTTACACATTCACATTCACACCCAGACATATGTGCATGTATTCACATCATCTTCAACTCCACACCTCATACTGGATAACAAAGTCAAGTTCGAACGCATCTTGACCAACATAACAATGACATTTATGCTCATCTTATTATCATCATGTATAGACAATGTGATGTGATTTATCAGCATTCACTTTTTGACTAGTCAATAACTTGTACAGGTTTTATTGTCTGAAGAAGCGATTTCTACGAAGTCGTGGAACATGAGAAATTGACTTTACTACTTCAATGGGATTTCATAGATTAAATTTTGATCTTGAAGTTTATGAAGTTAATTATGCAGTCTCACTATCTATTTTATACGGTGCAGAATCTCAGTAGGGAATGTCATATTCATAGTAATGATGGTTAGTGGGTAGCAGTGGAATCCAGGATGCGCATTTCGTATTTGGGACTTATTGGTCAGCCGGGATGTCCCTACCTCCCAGTGAGTGATGTTGTTCTCAGTGTTACATGATCAAAACACAGGCAATATCGAGTCATCCACACAGAAGCCTATATGCCAACAGACACTGATCGATTCGGTGCAATCAACGATGGTGTAATACAAGCAATAACATTAATCTCATATTCCCTTGAATTAAATGTTGGTTTTTAGGGGAGAGAATTGGGGTCAAGATGTGATAACATCGTTCATTCCTGATTTCTTCCAATTGAAAACTACATGAAAATCCATACAATTTCTATTGGCTTAAAAATACATTTGAAGACTGAAAGTAAGTGAGTGTATTACTCAACAATGGTAGAATTGTTTACTCGCATTATGTATAAAGGCGTTGAGATAGGCTTAATCGAGTCATCGTTTACGAAATCTTCACCTGACAAGTATCGATTTACTTTCAAATAGTAATAATTCGTGGCTTTAGTCAACACAACAATCATCATAAGAAGAAAGTATTCATCGTTAACTTTTTCGCTTATATACTACAAGTTTAAAGGTGTACAACATGGCGTCTTTAGTTCACTCACATCCATATTCATCGAACTGATTGGTGGTTAGTATTCGAAGGGTCTTGAATGAATCAGGTATGAGATCAGAAACATATTCGTTTCCTGGTATTCAGTTATAAGAACTGAGTTACAAAAGTTAGGATAAATTTGCCAATGTGATGGATTCTGTGATTTACTGTCGTTCCCACTCACCGACATTAGCATCATGCCATCCAACCTGCTGATCTCCACTACCCACTCATTCGTGATATTTTTCTCCTACCAATTTCATCAGTCATCCAAAATTTAACCTCACTTCACTGCTTGTTTTCAATATTTTCGATTCACTTCTACAAATGTGCATACACCAGTCATTTCATATGAACTGCTTGTCAAATAAAGCGACTCCAACGATTATCGACTGATAGAATTCGAAGATAAGTTCTTGATTATTTTAGTCATGATTTGAATGCACTGCCATGTAGGCACAAACCTCAATCAATCTACATTGAATTCATCAAAACGCCCGTGTTTACCCACTCGAATTTATGTATCGTAACATATCATCATCGGTTGTAACCGCACGATAAACACTAACAACAGCGTTACTCGCCTCACACGATTGATCCGTCTGACACATGAAACACTTACTACCCTCATAGAAGACAATGCTATTGTAACAGGTGGGGACTAGAGCTGAACATGCAGACGGATGATATGACAACGATACTCAACTTAAAATAACAAGGCCCACGATTTATACTGTGAGAAGAATAAGTAGACATGTCTATGCACGGAGAAGGGAAAACACAAACCACTAAGCAGGTCAGAGATAATTTATCTTGGGTTGATAAGGCAACATAAATATTATATAAGGACAAGTGCATAATTAATTTCTATCACGATATGGGAAGTAAATTAGAAGCATTTACGGTGAACAATACCAGGACCAGATTCATCATATTCTTGTTTGGAAATCCACATCTGTTGGAAAGTGGACAATGAGGCCAATATGGAACCACCAATCCAGACAGAGTATTTACGCTCAGGTGGGGCAACAATCTTGATCTTCATTGTGCTCGGTGCCAATGCAGTGATCTCCTTCTGCATACGATCAGCAATACCTGGGAACATCGTTGTACCACCTGACAACACTGTGTTAGCGTAGAGATCTTTACGAATGTCCACATCACATTTCATGATTGAGTTGAAGGTAGTCTCATGAACACCTGCAGATTCCATACCCAAGAAGCTGGGTTGGAACAGGGCCTCTGGACAACGGAAACGTTCGTTGCCAATGGTGATGACCTGACCATCAGGAAGTTCATAGCTCTTCTCGAGAGATGAGCTGGAGGCGGCGGTAGCCATTTCCTGTTCAAAGTCGAGAGCCACATAGCACAGTTTCTCCTTGATGTCACGCACGATTTCTCTCTCAGCCGTCGTGGTGAAACTGTATCCACGTTCCGTCAGGATCTTCATCAGGTAGTCAGTCAAGTCACGACCAGCGAGATCGAGACGCAGGATGGCGTGTGGCAGAGCATAACCTTCGTAGATGGGCACAGTGTGAGTGACACCGTCACCTGAGTCGAGGACAATACCAGTTGTACGACCGGAGGCGTACAATGACAGCACAGCTTGAATACCGACGTACATGGCTGGTGTGTTGAATGTCTCGAACATGATTTGTGTCATCTTCTCACGATTGGCTTTCGGATTCAATGGAGCTTCAGTGAGGAGGACGGGGTGTTCTTCTGGAGCTACACGCAATTCATTGTAGAATGTATGATGCCAGATCTTCTCCATGTCATCCCAGTTGGTCACGATACCGTGTTCGATTGGATACTTCAGAGTGAGGATACCACGTTTCGATTGTGCTTCATCGCCGACGTAACTGTCTTTCTGACCCATACCGACCATGACACCCTGTGTGAGAGAAATACACACACACACACAGTGAGAGAGAGAGAGAGAGACGAATAAGTGGTCAGATGCTACTCAGTGTTGTTGTACAGCCAACTGCAGCTGCTACATATGATCCTACTCCTTCATGTTAGAATGTGAGTGATACCAGCTGCACGTTGGAAAGCTGCCAACTCCTCGATATCGCTTCACTGTGTTACAAGTATCACAAACATTCTAATCTCAACTGACATAGTTCTAATTATTAATCTAATAATAATAATAATAATAATTTATATCACAGTTGGGTAATGAGAAGACAAGTACAAATGAATGAATGAATGACTGGAGGGATTGTGCTTACCTGATGTCTAGGTCGTCCAACGATTGAAGGAAATACTGCTCTCGGTGCATCATCACCAGCAAATCCAGCTTTGCACATACCCGATCCATTGTCTACAACAAGAGCCTGAACTTCTTCGTCAGCCATAGTGATTTATCAAACTGGTGATAGTGTACTCGTCCAAAAGAAGAGGAATACTAATGTGTATATCAACTATGTAGCACAATTTATTCTTTTCCTGTACCATTTAACTATGTCCATTTATGGTCATTGAAACTGTGTATTAGTGAATTGTGCATTTTCATTGGATTATTCATATTTTATGCTACTGTTATTGTCAATAGCATACGAATTGTCTATGCTTGTGTGTATGTGTATGTTTGTTAACCTCTCTTTCAATATTATTCACAATCGGTCTTGCTTCTTTCCCCAATACTCTCCATCTCTGTGTGTGTGTGTGTGTGTGTGTGTGTGCGTGTTTCCAATCGATTTCGATACTGAATGATAAACCGAAAGTAGGGAGGTATAAAAATGAACATCGATATATGTAGAAAGTTTTCCTGGAATGCACAATATACAATTTTTATGCCAAATGTCCGATTAGATAAAACTTTTTGGAATGTTCTGAAAAGTGGACATGAAGTAGTAGTGTGGAAGAGAAATGTGTATTGGACTTTAAATAAACAAAACTTTTGCCTTCACTATACGATCAATGTGAATATAGCACATAATTTTGTTAGTGTTCAGATAATCATGTAGACTACTGATGCATAATCAATGAAGTTGAATCATTTTTTGTGTGTGTGAGATAACCATTTGTGTACTGCATAGATTGAGTAATTTGTTTGATTGTGTGTGTGTGTGTGTGTGTGTGCAGCAGTGGAATGTAGGTTGTTCGTTTTGTCCAACTCTCGACTCACTGTTTGTTGTAGTCAACTTCGTGATGACCTGTGCTTCTTTCCACAATGATGATTGAAGGTGGAATGAAAATATGGACTACAGATGGATTTGAATGAGTGACCAGTGGGTTTTCGACTGGATGTTCTACTAACTGAACTATGAGGTCTTTCGTGCATGACAACTGATGCATATTGGTTAGTTAACTTTTGATTCTTCGTATGAATGACTTGCTCCTCTTCTCTCAAGAGATCTGTTTGTAGTATATTTCACTGTCAGAGAATTTTATAGCCTCCGTATTCATCACCAATCCACAAATGCCTGCGAATTCTAATGCATGTGTGTTATCGGTTTGAAGTGATGCATCATATGGACATGCAATAGCTTGAATAACGAAACTGGTGTCCGTATGTCGATTAAACTTATCGATGGTCTACTGTTCAGTAGCAGTTTGATATATATATATTTATATATTTAGCCCCTGTATATGTAGTAGTCCGATCACTCCGACACTTAACAGTGGATAAGAAGATGTATTGTATGTAGTCTGTATAATTTGTGCTTTTGCAACCTGTGACTATCCCTCATCTTCCTGGACAGGAGGGAGGTGTCTCTTCTGCTGACGTTTGTGTACAGGGGTGGTGTATGCCGGTGTAGGCCTTCGACTTCTTCGTTCACTGGATCATGGTGGTGCACTTCTAAGGTGACTGACTGGTGGTTTTGCTCTGTAACATTCGAGAAAGCCTTGCAAGCTGCTTCATATCAGTCGGTTGAACTGAGTTTCCCAGTTTCAGCTGTTAAACAATCGCACACGAAATACTGTCTATCAAGAGTGTTATCAACAATTGTTCTCTTGACTTATCATCGATATTGGTTGGTGCATAGTGGAACCGTTTGGTGAGTTTCAGTTCGAGCACCATATCTTCTTTATATGCTTGCAACGTGTCACTTCTGAACTCTTGCATAGCATGAATCGTATCCGTAGGGCTGTCAAATTACCTTATCTGCTTATCACGTATAATCTCCTAGTAGTCTCCTTTTTGTTGAATTTCGTATGGTTTATGTGGGGCCTTGGAGACAAAATGAAACCAATAAACGAATTGTAAAATAATTTTTTAATATAATCCTAGTGGGCTTAGAAAATCTCTTGAAATAGCTGTGGCATGCACAACAAAACGTTCAGAAATGTCTTGTCTTTGATTTTTTTAAAGCACGTTTGCATTCAGTTAAAACTTACTTTCATAGTATTACTTATCAAGACTTGTAATTTCTTACTGGGGTGCTGTTTGGGTGCTTACATACCACCTGATTATTGATTATGTCTTAATTTGCTTCATAGGGAGACCCGCATTTTGTCCTATTTGGGATTGGTCAGCTAAATGAGCCGGCGTCCCAGTGAGTGATGCTGGGATTAAAATCCAACACCAGTCACTTCAAAAAGTCAAACTTTATACACTTGGCTAATGGGTCACGATAGCCAACTCTTGTTCAACGGGTGTTTGTATAGGATCTCATCTGCCAATAGAGGTCAGCCACTTCGATGCATAATAACAAGGGGAAACTGCATGTATCAGTGATCCATTAATCCTCTAGGAGACAGCTGGACATTTAATTGCTCTTATTATTGTCTTTGTGTTAAAAATTTATGGCAGAAAATCTAGTGTGTGTGTAGTAAAGAGTAGTCACAGAAGCAGATTTCATAACTTGGATAACTCACCTATAAGCACATAATAACTTCTTTCATTTTCTTCCTGTGCAATCAACACCTAACTTACTGTTCATGATGTAGGATGGTTAATTTGTAAAAACGATTTGCAAATTGCACAGTTCACATTGATATCTCTCATAGTTGATTATCGTCTGGATTATCCACCTGTGATATCAGTAGGTTTCCGTTGAAAACCATCTAGCTAAGATCACATTCTATGATCTCTGAAATAAAATTGTCATGAAGAAGCAATCATAAGTAAATTATATACAAAAATCTATCAATGTAAGTCAACTATCCACACTCAGGTAAACTGACCGATTCAGTTCTATGAGTTCAATTTATCAGGGTGCATAGCTAATTAGCCTGGTTATTATTATTATATTTCCCTTGGGTTCGTAGTGGAACACACCGCTTCAGTAGCACGCCTCCATTCAACTCTTTTCTCTCAAGTCTTTTCAACCTGGCTCCATCAATGCCTACAGGCTTTCATTTCTTCCTCACATGATCTCCTCCATGTCACCTTCGGCTCAGATGCCCAACTCGTCATTTCCTCTTTGGATTCCACTTGATGGCCTGGCACGTGATGTCTTCGAATGGCTTTCTTAGTGTATGCCCAATCGATCTTCACTTCCTTCTGCATATTTGTTGGGTGATGGTTTCTTGGTTGATTCGTTCCCAGAGTTCCTTTTTACTTGTCCTTTCTGGCCATTTGATCTTCAGTATCGAATGTAGGCAGCCTGGTTGAAACAGACGAAACTGCTATCTGATGTTTAATTACTGTAATCAGGTTAATGAAACCTATAGACCAGTCTGAGGCTGTGAACCTTTATCGACTGGAGTCGCTTGAATGTGCATATTGTGCATGCTGAGTCATTGTCTGCCTCGATCCACCCTGCTATTTGAAGTTGGATTAGGGTTGTTAGAGGATTTAGAACGATCAAACCAAGACGTGGCATCAATTGATACCGTTCCAGACTATTGGTCTCAGTCATGTAAGCAGATGTAGAATACCAGGCTGAGATCCGCAAGACTATATAAATCAGTATTAAAGAACCCACAGTAAAATGCCTTCTCAGTCTTATTGACTGGTAATTCCTCCATTTCATTATTATCCGTTGGTAACTGCGAAATCAGACGGTATAATACTGATAAGTATGTGTGCTAATGGCATTTCCTTGAAGTTCGCTAGGTTGCTTAGCCTAGCGGAATAACATATAACTGCCTACCTCCAATTATCTAATCGTTTCTCCAACTTTATATCTCACGTTATAATTGCTGATAAATCTCTCTACTATTAAATGGGCTGGTTCTATGATTATAAACTAATTACTGATTAATCTAGGTGCTGAACTTACGAATTTCGCTAAAACTCCTAGTTTTTCAGGTGTCATAGTTGTTTGTATAACTGAAATTATACTCACATCCTTAATTGTTCATATGCATTAATACAAGCGATTCTATGGCAAGATAATAAATTCACAACTAACGTTTGCCTACAGGTTGGTATTCATCATGGAGTAACATCCGTTGCAGGAACATTGGAAACCTGGGACCACTGGACGGCTGTTTCGTCCCACTAATATGGGACTCCTGAAAAGTGCCCACCAGCGACCCCACCCCATCAGAGATCGAAACTGTGACCTTCAGGTTCCGCAGCCAGCATGTTACAATTGAGCCATTTAGCCGGAGTTTATAGGTACATATTTTCCACTTCTGTCGGTTCACGATATAGCGCAATCTCCATCCAATGCTGACGTTATCACTGGAGCCAACCAAGTCAAACATAAGGACAGTTACTCAACGACGCCGTTGAATGGAGGTCGCAGTATATAGTGAACTGAAAAAAGTAGAGAATGTGAACCGTTGGTATTCAACTTAATGGTTATCTCAATGGTATCGTGCTGGTCGCTGAACCTGAATGTCGTTGGTTCGATCCCTGGCGGGGTCGTGGGTACGCACTAGTGAGGAGTCCCATACTAGGACGAAACAGCTGTCCAATGCTCCCAGGTTCCCTCCGTTTCTCCAACTGATGTCAGTCCACGATGAATAACAACTAGAAATATTTCCAAATCCCCACAACTACCTCAAAATTCAGTTGAAGTGGTGCTCATTGGTGACTGCTTCGTGAGATATTCCTGAAGTTCCAATGAGAAGTCATGACCGTTGGGGGGGGGGGGGGAAAGCCTGATGGTCGTGAGGACAGTTATTTTTTTCAAGTTGGTATTCATCGTAGACTGACATCAGTTGGAGGAACAAAGGAAACCTGGCAGCACTGGACAAATGTTTCGTCCTAGTATGGGACTCCTCAGCAGTGAGCACCCATGACCATCAAGTTCTGTGGCTGCACGTTACCATTGGGCCACTGGGTCACAATCCAATAGTCCATATTTCCAACTAATGTCACTTCACAACATAGTGAGACTGTCACCCAATGTCATCGTTGGGTCTTTATCCCTACAGCCACAAGGTTTGCCTCACCAGTCACGACTTCTTACTGGAACTTCGGGAATCACTTCTCGAAGCTTGTCACCAATGAGCACTAGTTCAATTGAACTTGGCGGTTTGCAGGGAGGAAAAATACTCAACAGTGACACTGGCTGGCGGTTGCGCTATGTCGTAGACTAGCAGAAATTAAGAATATGGACCATTGGTTTCTGACCCAGTGGGTCAATGGTAAGGTGCTGGCCACGGAACATGAAGGTCGCTGGTTGGATCTCTAGTGGGGTGGGGTCATGGGTGTGCACTGCTGAGGAGTCCCATGGTGGGACGAAACAGCTTTGCACACTT